CTATGGCACCCAACTATCCCATTGAAAGCATAACCTCACAGAATATGGCTTTCTTTAAAGGAAATCACGATCTTTTGGCTGATTTACTAGATATTCAGAAATTGGCGAATAAACTAAATGGTATTTTATTTTATTAGTTAAAGTAGAACACTATTTTACCTGGACAATTATTTTTATAAAAAACTTTCCTTTTTCCAGTAAAACTTTTAGACAATTATTTAGTACCTGACATGGACTGGAATCACATTGATTTTGCAATTAATAAGCATGCTAATATTTACCTAAACCCTCAAGTATTTAGAATTTTGAATTACATCTCAAAATTCGATAGATTTAACGGTATTATAGGAGATATTTTTAATTATGGTAATAACAGCTACAAACATTAATTTAATAACTATAGCTGTATAAACCTTTATTAGTACAATTTTCAGAAAATTTTTAAAAACTATACCTTTATCATATAAAATAACTTATAACTTACTATTAATACTGTAGTATATTATAAATATACCGTAATAACATTTAAAAATAAATAATATTTTATAGTCTTATAACATGTATTCTATTCATAATATAAGTCATATAAATCAGTAAATAAAGACAATTCATTCATTATAATGGCTGTAATTATGTAGATCTTTATGAATGTTATAAAGTTAAATATGCTTTTATATAAAATATTATCTTTGACAAAACATTTTTGATGTTTTTATACTATTTGGTATGTTTGGATAAATAATTATTCAGTTTACCTTTACCTATTTGGTGAATACAAAACATGTATATTAGAATTGACTCACTTTTCAAATAAAAATAGATACTTAAACACATAGATAAATTTTTAAAGATAATTATAATAAGTTAACATTTCTAAATATTACTTTTAACCAAGTTGCATTCTAACTATTAAAATGTAATTTCCAAACAAAACTCAATTAAAGTTTTATAAAAATTGTGAATAAAGTGATGAATAAAGCGAAACGACAGACATTTTCGAGCGTTTATTCCTATAATAGGAATATTTGTGACAAACATTTCCCAAAGTATGGCTCAAATACAGGACTTGATTTGTTAATCAATTTTCACAAATTTTGTGGCATTTCTTATTTGGGTCTCAGTATTGGCGACCAAAATATATATCTCAAGATTGTGTCCATTGTATGGAATCTAATAATCATATTAAATATATTTTGTCATATATTACGCTGAAGTCTATACCCGGATAAATCACACCAAAACCTATTTACCGATTAATTCAGTCGGCTTAACAATATTGGCCAACATATCCACTTTGACCTACTTTTTGATCGGTTGCCTCCATGTGCTCATCATCTCCAAGAGTCCACACATATTGAGTCGAAAAGTTGTATGATTTGAATCTAGCACAAATTATTCTTAAAATTGAAGGCGATATCTATTTGACAGCATTTGGTTTCTATTTCATTAATTGCAAAACATTTTTGACTATAATTTCAATCATCATATCCTATGCTGTAATCTTAGTTCAAACGAGTAGTCAATTGTAATAAAAACTATGTTATTCTGTGATACAAATTATGCAACTATTTTGTAAGTCCTTATATTTCAAATTTAAATGTTCTGTTGAAAACCTGGACTTAAATCCAATTCATTAAATTACTGAATAAAATATTTTAATTCACTAATTATTAGTTTGTTACAACTTTATTAATTTATTACAATTTAGTATATCTTATAAAATGATATTACAAACATTTAATACATTTTACAGAGATTTGAATCTAAATAAATGAAATACTTCTAGTAAACTATAATTTTAAACACAGAATATAATACAATAAATAAGTGTTAGAAATGTATTTGAGATGCCTTTCCATTATGAAGTGGACGTGATCTGAGAGCGTGGACTTTTGTGTGAGGCTTTGCTTTTAGCTACCGATGCTTTTGGTGTAACAGTAATGTCTGTTTTCGTGGAGGGGGTGACCAGAACGGCACCGGTAGCTGTGTTTTGTTTTTGACTCAAATCTTTGTGGTGTTTTGGGGCCACATATCGGGCGCCCATATCTGCCCTCATTATCTTTTGCTTAGAATCCATATAATAGTGAAAAGCAATGCTTAATATAATGAGTATTAAACCGATGAACAGGAAGACAGTGGGAGTCATGTAATCCTTTTGCGAGTATTTCTTCACGAAATACCTATAGTTAGGAGGATTCAAGTCAAGACCTATGGGTCTCTTAGTGTTGTCTGTCGGAGCTGTCGGAGGGGTTAGAGGGGGACTACCCGTATGTGAAGGATCGCTTTGTGGTGAATCAGTCGATGGCGTACCGGTGGTGGTGCTGTCAGTAGCTGAAGTAGTAGTTGGCGCACTAGTAGCCAGATCACTATTATTTGTCTAATACAGTATAAAGTAAATAATTAGTTTATAAACTAAACAGTTATTTAGTATTCGTATAATTACTGAATCCTGAGTCAAATATACTGCAAAAACTGTGGTCAATATTATAATCTTAAACATTCAGAAAGCCATAGTTTTACTGGAAATATAGTTCATTCAAGTAATAGGTCTGTATTATGAACTCAATTTATTCAGTATTCTATTGCTATTTATTTAGTAACTGTGGTCAATATTATAATCTTAAACATTCAGAAAGCCATAGTTTTACTGGAAATATAGTTCATTCAAGTAATAGGTCTGTATTATGAACTCAATTTATTCAGTATTCTATTGCTATTTATTTAGTAACTTATCTAATGAATGACATTTAAAACAACTGTCAAAAGTTATGATCGGCTCATAAACGGCTAAATATTGTTTGAATAAAAAGCGTTAACTTTATGTTTAATTGGTTTTGTGTATAGAATTCAATAATCGCGGGAATGAACGCCAATTCAATACAAGTCATACCAACAATAGTAACACTAATATTCAAATCATTACAGAATAATGTCATATAATTTCAAACAAATACAGTATTTCTAAAATTAATAACAATTAATGATTGTTTGATTGAGTGTCCAATGAGTGAGTTTATGGCACTTTTGCAGTATTGCCATCACATCTAACTTATTCACTTCAATCCCATACGAGCCATGACTTTGGATATTAAGGATGTCTGAAGGAGTGGTAGTCTTGCAAATGGATCCAAACGAATACCTTTTCCATAGCCAAAAGTGTACGTTATTTCCACAAACCGTAGCGCCGGTAATATTTTCATAATGAATACAACATGTATTGATTCAAATTAACTGTACCTCTAGTTTGAAAGCAATGACAAAAACTCTTGTAATAAGTTTTGTAATATATCAGGATTTGAGAAACTGTTCAACAAATAGTGATTTTAAATTATAATTTACAATATTTTTCTCGAGAATTACATACTATTGATCTCTTTAAGGTGATACTGTACAAGGTGATTTATTTTTGTAATATATCAGGATTTGAGAAATTGTTCAACAAATAGTGATTTTAAATTATAATTTACAATATTTTTCTCGAGAATTACATACTATTGATCTCTTTAAGGTGATACTGTACAAGGTGATTTATGAATTATACAAATTGCATTTCAATAAAAATAGATTTATTACTCATAAATGAATACAAATAGTATTAAATGTTTAAATTTGTTAATTATTTATTAAATATAAAACATTAGAAAAAATATTACGGTAGACAAGCTCTGAATATTTTGCAAAAATTAATGACTTGCAGTACAACAAAAATTATTAGATTATATTAAACCGTAATATAATAGAAATAATGGCTAATAATACATAGAAACTCAAAGTTGAAAATAATTATGATTTAAGAGTTGGTTATTAAGAGTATTTGGAGTCAAACTGTGGTCAACAGGGGGTTGAGTGTAGGGACTGTTGGGAGTGTTTGGCGGCACACGATATCCGTACTGATTGGCCACACCTGTGGACCCGGTGTTGGACTGTCGGTGAGATCTCTTAGCCCTCTGTCGATGTCTGTCCATCTGTTCGGTCTCGTCATCGGAGTACTCGACCACATCTCCGGGCGGTTCGTTGTTGTGCTTCCAGGAGGCGTCCGATCCCTTCATTTGTCGCAACTGTTCCGCGAAGACATAGCTCGTGATCGGCTGCTGGCGTTGTGTCGCGAAATACACCGGCGTTCCCACCGATATCTGTCGCGCAGTTATCTCGTCCGCGGTGTCGAACCGGACGGCATATCGCGGCTCAACCACCGGTCCAAACACGTCAAACACCTGACCCAAGGGCTGCCCGTCCTTCAGGAACAGCACTGAGTCCAAGTCGAGCGCCGGCATCAACCGAAACGACTGAATCACCACCAGTTGGTCCACAATCGACGCAACGGTTCCCAATTGGGAGAGCTCTTCGGCGGCCACACTGATGGACATATCATAATATTAATATTGGATAATAATTAAGTAATTAAGTACAAAAACTGACAAATTTATAGACTTTCGCCCACATATTCATGACATAAGCTGTCACCTAATACTTAAGAATAATGCAATACTTATAAAGTATTAGAATATTGCATATCATATGAATTCCGGTATCTTTACAGCTATTTTTAGGTTCCGTCTCCCATTGAGATCATCATTTAAATGCAAGTAATGTGTTTATATTTTAGTGAGTACTTGATTATTTATTAAAATATTTTAGTATATGAAATTAAATACCATAAAATGGTATTGAAAGCAATGAGAGATTCATTTAGTGATAGATTTTGTGACGATTTGTGTGAACTCGTCATAAGTTATCTCCCAATTGAAGACAAACTCCGATACGAAAGCGTTTGCAAACAGTTTCAAAGACTCGTATTTAATAAGCAATACATCCTAAACATAGACTTATTTGATAAAAATTATAATAAAAATAATTTCCGAAAAGCCATTCACTTATGCCATGATAATGAAGAGGAATATGTGGTGTCCGTCGATTGCAAACTATTATCCAAATTGTTGACCAAATTTGCTCACATCAAAGAAATTAATTTAAAGCAAACCACTAGTAATCAAATCGTTGAGATCCCGAATATGTGTCAAGTATTACAAGTAATTACAGAGAATTGCAAACATTTGAAGACATTTGCATTCAATTGTGATGAACAGAAGTACGAGTCACAAGTGGTCACACAATTTGCTCAAACATTTGGACCACAACTACAAGAACTGCATTTTGGAGTCGAAGATCGCTTCAATTATCACCAATTATTGCCTTTTTGTGTGAATTTAAGACAATTAACTGATGTTGACATTAGAGATCTGATCCAGAATAACACAGTTGTGGCTAAAAAGTTGACAAAACTTTATAAACTCAATGTCTGGCAATACAGCAATCTATACGATATATTTGTCTCGCAATTGAGTCTTAATTTAATTCATTTAGTGATTGACTTCTCATTAGATTCAGTCAATGAAGAGATTGATTTCATCGGAAAGTTGAGTCAATTGTCAGGCCTTCGAGTGCTGGACATCACATCCAATCTGGAAGACGGAGAATATTCACCACAATTGCCACAAACATTCAAATCCATAGCCATTAACTGCAAACAACTAATCAGTTTTTCGTTCAACACATACATCAGGGATTCATTTGACGGGAAAGCCTTTTGTGAGAGTTTCACTCACTTCCGAGGACTCAAACGATTCACTTTCGGATTCTTTATGAATGAAAACGGATTTTTCGATTTCAATTGTCTTAAGAGTTGCAAAAAATTAACTCATTTGAAGTTAGGACTCATGAAAATTAGCGATAAATGCTTTGAAGGGTTTGACCACATATTCCCGACTTTACAATCACTTGAATTGAAAAATGAAAACAAATTATCGAAACAAACATTGGATACAATTCGCAAAATTCAATCGTTAGAAGTGTTTAAAACGAATAGGTATTACAGCTAAACCAAATTTACTATACATGGAGTCCAGACAGTCCGGGATGTCAGTGGCCGCGGGTGCTGGGAGTCTGTGATAGTCCAACTGATCTGGTTTTCGGGGGCACCGGTGGTTGTCGGGAAAGACTGTTAAAAAGAAGTCGACATTGGATTCAACGGAGCATTTGAAACGACACTGACGTGAGTATAGGAACGGGATGTCGGCTACAGTGGATGAGTGAAGGGTTAGACACGAGTTGTAATAACTTTTGAATTATATTTTTATTTGTATTTAGATTTTGAATAATTGTTTTACCGAATACAGTAAATCTAAACAAAATCTATTCATTTACTACTAACTTACAGTAAATTAAACAAATTCTTGGAAAGTTTGACAGAATATTCTCGATTTTATATTCAACTTGAACTGAAAAAGTGAAAATAAATTACCCTGAACAAATGATGTTTATTTTTATATTAGATATCGAAACAGCGTTTGAAAATTACAAAACAAATTAATTATACGACAAAATACAATGTTTGTAAATAATATTGAGATTAGAAAATGAATACAACTATCAATTATTCATGTGCTGATCACAGAGATACCGGTGCGCCAGTTCTCGGCGCCGATGAATGTCTTGCAATTCAAGCACACGTAGGCGTCGTAATCAAAGCCATTCCTGAGGCGAATGCCTTCGGACGCGAAGTACTGTTTCTCACGGCTGTCCATCTCGACGAGCACTTGCATGCGAGCCGTCGCCACATCCAACTCCTCTTTGCGGTCCGTTTCGACCGTAAATATCTCGTCACACGACTGCACATAATCGCCTCGTTTCACCTTATTGTGGACATAGGCGTGCAGGTGCTGCAGAATGGCGTTCCGGTTATAATAACCCAAATTACAGAACACACAGTAGTATTGTATGTCGTGTTTGTGGCGATTAGTCTTTTGCTGCTTAGGGTTGGGTCGGACTGAGACGCCTTCGGAGGCCAAGTATGACATAATTTGGTCGTTACTCCAGTTATCCATTTCCAGTAGGTATCCCGTCTGTAGTAATGTATTCAGTTCGGGAAATCCATTCAAATGATTGATCACTCGCTCCACAGAACTGAACGACTGGTTACACAGCGTACACACCAGCGCTTTGGTACCGGTGCCGTCCATCACTTTGACGCCGTGGACGAGTGCCTTCTCCTTCGTTAGATTATGCATATTATACAACACCTTCTTGCGGGCCAATAGGAGTTCCGTGTTATCTGTGGTTATATCTGAGGTTATGAGTCGATCGATGCCTTTGAACTGTTTGTTCGTCAGATGCGACTCCTCTTTGATGTGACTCTGGATGTCCTGCAGACGGAAGACTCGCAGGTTATCACACAATCGACACTTGAAGCCCGTGTTCACCGATCCCTTCCCTTTGACGACCGATAGTCTTCGCGTTTCAATTGTTTGCGATAATTGTCGGCCCTTTTCGTCGACTTCTTCGGCGACTGGGAAGTGGTCTCAGTCTTAGCCGACACACGGATTCGCGACAAATATCTGATCTTCTGCTGAAAGCTTTGGATCCGTTTAAATGAATTCGTGTCGAAGTCGAAGACCTCGAAGACGTGTGTCTCATAGGAAACCGGAGGTCTTGTGATCGTTGTCTTGATTTGGTGGTAGATATCGGCAAATTGGATGCCATTTGTGTCGCGCTTATCGCACGCTTCTGGTCGCCAATCATGACATAGTACTCGAAGACTGAAGACTTTGCGGACATCTCTGACACCAATGAAAGACAATTAACACTTGACTTCAGTTTTCAAACAAATCAATGATTGTTTGCAAACAAATGCATGGCTTTTGTGTGCATAACATATGAACCATAGATTACGTGCGGATTTATGTAACGGTGTTTGCGTTGAATTCAATGCAAAACTGCGA